ACATTACACTCACAAAACCCACCCATAATCCATAGAGATATTAAGTCTGCAAATGTTTTGATTGATAGGAATTTCAATGCAAGATTGGGTGATTTTGGTTTAGCACTTAGGTGTGGTGTTGATGATGATTATAGACTTAAGTCAACCCCACCTGCTGGAACCATTGGCTATCTTGATCCATGCTATGTTACCCCGGATAATTTGAGTACTAAAACCGATGTGTTTAGTTTTGGGATTTTGTTTTTGGAGATTATTAGTGGAAGGAAGGCTATTGATGTGGGGCATTCGCCGCCTTCTATTGTAGATTGGGCAATTCCACTAATTAAAAAGGGGAAACTCGGTGCTATATATGATCCAAGAACTTTCCCTCTTAAGGATCCTATGATTAGGAAGCAGCTGGCTTTGATTGCTTCTAAATGTGTGAGGTCTTGTCGGGAGCGGAGACCTGCGATGAAGGAGGTCGTTGATTGGTTAACTACATTGAGTAAATTGGTCCCGCTTCATTCATGGAATGGGTTCAACAATCCGTGCATGATGGTGGAGACAATGGGGCGTCCTGTTGAACTAAGAAACACACGGTTTGGTTCCAGACCACAAGGTGATGGAGAAGAGAATTTGAATGAAATAGATGGTAAAATGGGCAGGAAATCAATGATGGATACACGGCGAGTGTATTCAGATTTGGGGTTTCGAAGCAATTTGATGGAACTCATGGCTGGAACAGATGCCGAGACTGATGGGGTTGAGTCTAGTTTGAAATCTGCAAATCGGTTTTCTAGTTCTAGATTTGTTAGTCCACGATATGGTATGGAAGGAAGAGCTCAATCTCATGCCCATGGTAAAAGAAAAGGTCTCTTTCAAGCTAGAAAAAACCAATCAGTTGGGGGTGGTTCAGAATTATTCTCAACAACGGATAACGCAGTTGCTCGTTCAAGTTACAGTGGCCAAGGTTGTTATGGTATCTAGTTTGCTGCAAAGATTTGTTTGAAGTGGCTTGACAGTAGAGCGAAGCTCAGGCTTGTAAGCTTCTCTTGCTTGAGAATTACTTAGTTGTAGATTTGTTGGTAGCACTTTGAGTAGTGGTTTTCACTCAATTATCATTTTTCAACGCTCATCCAAATGTTGATGTCTTGTTAAATTCCATGCACATTTAGATCAAGGGCGCATTGCTCATGTCCCTCGCATAGGTTGTTGATCCTTTCCAGTTATCACATCGTTGTTATGCCAAGCCGATGTGTTGTCAAGAATTCTGTTGAATAAATAAGTTAAAGCTGATTCAGAACAGTTCGGATTGCTTAGAATCTTTAACTTCTCCAAATGTCTTACGGACGTGCCAAATATCTGTTAGCTTTTTTATTAGCCGGAGTTTGGTCCTGTATTTTCTGTATTCTACAGACAAAAAGTGTTCTTTGGAATTAGGGTGAGACAGTACTCGAATACAGAATTAAAATATGAAGAGTACTTATAATATGTAGGAATGTTGGTGGTTCCTTGTGTTTACTTGTACAAATTGTCGGGCTTCAGCAAAATCAGTGTGAATAAAGCTTATTTTGTCAGCAAGCAGTTCGGCTCTTGTTCTGTTTTCCATTGAAGAGAATTTCTCTTGATGATCTGTTTCTTTTGAAAATTGCGTTGTTTCAAGAAAACTCAACTCAAAAACTTGTGGGCCAAGGCTCAATCCTCTAGTTAATTGTGTGGTCTATGATCTGTCTTCTTCAGTCGCAGAACGACATGCGAGTTTTTCATGCTAAAAAAATTGCAGGCAGATACTCATTTCCAAAGACAACAAATATACTGCATCAAATTGGAATTTCTGTGACAACAAAGACGTTGAAAAAACATTTCTTGTGGACATTTATCTCTAAAGTTATCTATGAAATTCTCTCTTAAGCTTTGAAATTCCTGCAAAATGTGCATTTCCAAAGACAACAAATATACTGCATCAAATTGGAATTTCTGTGACAACAAAGACGTTGAAAAAACATTTCTTGTGGACATTTATCTCTAAAGTTATCTGTGAAATTCTCTCTTAAGCTTTGAAATTCCTGCAAAATGTGCTGGAGATTGTTCAGAGCGCAACTTCCAACCAAAAAAAAAAAAAACCTCAGCTTTCATATTAAACTCGCTTTGGAAAATCTAGTAGCAGTACAGCACTAGAGACTTCTTTCTACCTTGAGACCGACATTTGTCATGTAGGGCATTTATATTGGCTAGGTTGGTAACCAAAATCTTCCCAGGATTTTATCCGGTTAATCTTAAAAAAACCTTATCTTTCTTTAATAAAAACTTAGTTTGTTTGATTTTGAGATTTGGATAAACAGTTGAAACTTCAAACCACCTCTTTCATTATAAAGAATTGTGAAGGACTCAAGCATTATTATTCTTGATAAAACAGCGGTTCCTAATTGTTTCAATCATTGGCAAACTTACAGATGTTATGTTTACTCTAAGAAGGAACTCCTCTGACATGATTGATATTAATCACAGATGGACCTACTAAGATAATTAATTGGCATTCCTTCATTTAAAACAACTGCGTTGTCCTTTTCCTATATGTGTAATCATACACGTAAACATGTTTCCTCACGTTCGTGTGCTAATCACTTGTTCATTAAGGGCCAAACATTATGCTGCAACAGGTAAAGAGCATCACCGGCTTCGCTAAATTCATTCAGAGAGAGGGAGAGATTTAGCTCCGTGTGAGATTGCAAATTACCTGTCACATTTTTCTTCAGACGTCTCATTCTCAACACTTGTTTTTTTTTTTGTTTTTGGATGAGAATTTGTTGTCCCAGACAAGGACCGCACAGAATCCAAGATGTCCATTCACATGGAGATATATCATGTTAGACCAAAAAATGTTATTGGTTCAAACAATTGAAGCTCAGTGCAGTTGAGTTATCCACGCAAGAAGAAGGTGGCCCAGAAGTTTTGTTTCAAGCTTCAAAAACCAGGACAGAGAGATGGTGTCCGTAGCTGTTAGCAGTGAGCAGGTAGATTTATATTCCTCACCACATTTCAAGGCTTTACAGCTCATGTAATTACCAATAGCATGTGCCTCTCCTTTTCATATGGCAAGACAGTTGCGTTATGCATCCACTGCTTTGACTTTCAACTAAAGCTGAAACTATATGCTTTTATTCTTAACAAGATGGAACCCCATCCTCTTGGATCCTATTCCTCACCAGTGGATCAGCATGATTTATCCCTTCAATTGTTGACATGGAACACTTTCATCATTGCGTTATTTTTCGTAAATGCTTGAAGTCCCACTAGACTAGTTTTCATGTTCAAGACTAAATAAATCTCTCTTCCACTAGGAATCTTAGGCAGTTCAAATTTTTGAGTTCGCAATCTTCCCTCAGGTAAAGATTATCTGAAACTTGATTTTGCGAAGAGCAGGACACTAATTATCCAAGTCAATACCTGAAGATCTTTGTGTTTTTATTTGTTTTCTGTGTTATCAACGCATATATTATAATTACGGGAGCTGCGAGTATTGCAGGGTAAAGGGGTATGATCATGATGGGGAGGAACAACTTGGGATGTTTTTACTTATTACCAGGCCGAGGAAAACGTCAAAGGCTCTTGTTTTCTTCGAGAGGCATTTCTTTTGTCTGTACGTTATTGGCTTTTATTGATTAATTCAGTTACCTTTTCCAGTCATCCAGTCAATGCAATTGCTAGATTCGAAGTTTCAAATCTTGTCTTCACGGTGATTAATAATAATAATAATAATAATAATAATAAAGAGTGATAATTTCAATTTGCCTCAAGGTTCAGGAATAGTCTAGGTTTTCACCTTGTAATGTTGGCTGAATCCATGTCATACCTGATTTTTAAAACATAATCAATTTACTCTCTTTTTTTCTATTAAAAAATAATATAAATTAAATCATAATTTTTTTATTTATAATATTTTTTTTATTTACATGGGGTGTTCGAATCAGCTTGCGCGTACCATGACTAATTCTCATGACCCACTGAATACCTTGCAAACCTAGTAGGCATGATACCCTGCAAACCTAGTAGGCATGTAAGGCATCGCAGGAGTGACAGACGTGCACGTCAGGGCTCGAATCCAGGTGCAGTGGAAAGAGATAAGCCCCTTTCACCACTAGATCAAGCACCGAAATACAAAAATTTAAAAATTATGCACCACATCCTCACAGCACATATTGGTTTTATCATATTTGTTGAATGGCTATTTAATAATTATATCAAAAGTTTAAAAGTTTTTTTTTTGATATTATATGTGAGAGATGGATTTCTCGGCTGGGTAATTTTAAAGCTCTGACCTTTTTTATTTTCCTCATTTTAAACCTTTTATTTTATTTTCAGTTATTGCCTAAACTAGATGGAAAACTGATTTCGAAGACCATGAACTCAACAAGTTTAGCTGACAGGTAAACTTTTTTACGACACGTCGTTTGGTGGTGGGGATGCATGGTAAGCTGGCAAGTGGCAACCCATCATTCATACGGTGGGTTCCGTAAGTGACTTGCCGTTTTTACATCATGTCCCTACTGTCTGGGGGAGAGAGAGAGTTACTGTGACAACAGCTTCTTCCTTTGGAAGAGGTAGAAATTCTAAAATTACACTCGGTAAGGCCTCAGGGTACAAAGAATTCTTTGAAACAGATACACAGCTTATTCTTGGACTCGGCAAACCAGAGCAAACCGAAGAGACATTTTCCTTATCCCAAACAATATGTCATGAAACCATGGCAGATGCAACTTCTCTTTTGTTTTCAAGTTCTGCAAATAAGCATACATCGCCATTGAAATAACAGCAAGATCACCAGATACAAAAATCAGTCATCTCATTTGTGTGTTCAGATTATGAGCATGTCGTGGCTCTCCGTGCAAAGCCCTGGCCTTGGAGGACTAGCAAGGGGATCAGGGGCTTTTGTGTCACCGGGAAATGTTTTAAGCAGAGGAATGAAATTTCTAAAACTCATCTGGGAGAAATGAATGAGGACGAGGGGGCAAGCCAGACACTTCATTAACAATCACGTTATTAGAAGCTCCATTGCTCAAACAAATGATCATATCATGAGGGAGAGATACAACTGATGGTGACAGCAGTAGATGCTAAAACCAAAACTCTATTTCCCAATACTACAGACAAATGTCAAGAGATTAAAAAGAAAAAGGAAGAAAAAAGAGGCAATATCATTAATGTCCTGAAAACTATCCTCACTGACTCACGGTAGAAAAAGCATTACTGTTGAGTGTTGAAATCTTGTAACAACGATGTGGGGCAAAAATCCAAAACCCTAGAGTTCTGTCTAGAGAAGTAGCTTTTGTGTACATTGAAGAAGACAGCCAGATAAATGAGCTCCAGCACATGTCAAAAGAGAAATATCAAGTAGAGATCATATAGTTTTAAATTGTGTTTTAACTTGATCTCACACCAGCTCCCTGCCTTGCCTTGATCATTCTTTTGAGCGTTGCTAGCCAGAAGTTGCATTCGTCCCACTCACTTGTGGTAAGAAGCACCTGTTCCGAGCACATGAACAGAAAGAGTTATGGTGCTTATTAGAAGTGTCAAAACATAAATAGCTCTTAAGTAACACATGCCTGGATCTGTAGAGCTGAGCTAAAATCATTCCTGTCCAATGCCTGGCATAGCTGAACAAGCTTATCAGAAGCATTTTTTGATATATCCCCACTGTTGAGTTTGGCAAACAAGGCACCTATTTTCCTTGAATTATCTTCAATTTCACGCCTCCTGGCTGGATTTGCACGGGCACCACCCAAAGCTTCTGATGTCTCGTTAAACAGTCTTGTCAAAGTTACAATGACTGGTTTATGGTGAGCTGAAACACGTTAATGAAATAAATTTTTCAGTCAGTCACACATCATAGAAATCATTGTAGTATACAAACAAAGCATATAACCTCTTTTATCATCAAATGTTAGAAACCAAACTGGTTGGGATTCCAGCAGATTATTGATCCAGCCTAAGCCAACATTTAAATTTCAAATGCTCGGATAGCAATCATTTTCACTCATTTAGTCATCCATGATTTCTAGTCTCAAACCATCTATATGCTACAACATCCATGACAATTGATTGCTAGAACTGCCCATCAGTAAGGAACTGCAGCCTAAATGTTTGCTAATACATGACAAAATTATTATTTTACGGCCTTAAAGCTACACAAAGATAACCTCAACTTATATAAGATAGACAGCCCTAGTGCAACCAGAAGCTTTCTAAAACTATTAGTAGATTAAAGTTGATAACCAAAGCAGATCTATTTTAGCAAAAGTGCAATTTTGTTTTAGCAATTACCAGGCACATTTGATGTATCGACTGTTTGCACAGTTGGTGGTGGAGCAGCAGGAGCCACAGCTGGTTGGACTGGTGCAGACTGAGTAGGACTAGGCGGCTGCATCAAACCAATTCCAGGTCTTTGAGCAACCCCTGCATGTACAGGCCTAAATCCCATTGGCATAGCGCCAGGAGCAGCAGCTTGTGGAATTCCATGGCCAGGAATTGCACCCACCTGAGATGTAATAGGTCCTTGAGAACTAGTTGGGGGTTGTACAGGATTATAAGCAGAAGTAGCAGTTCCCTGAAACAATCAAGCAAATTTTTTAGTGCATCACTCAGAAACATTAACACCAGATTTGCAATCCACGGTAAAAACACAGACTGGATACAAATGAGAACCCAATGTGGGTTGCTGATACTGTTGCGCATTTCTTAGACTGGGAACATTTGCTGGAACGAAAGTCCTGGTGGCTTGTTGAGTACCAGCATGAGGTGCAGGTGGAGCAAAACTTGGCTGTAAGAACAAAGGTGAAGTGATGAGTGGTAGTACCAAGTAGCACTAACTATTGACACAATTGTCTATATCTATCCCCAAGAACAAAGAGAACATAATTCAAGTTTCAATCAACACATCTACATGCAAACAATCTCTTCCAGAAAAACAACAGTTTGAATGTCTTGGTACGTAAGGATATCACCAAGTCAGGAAATAAATCATATGTATATGCACTCAAATACATCTGAACATGCAGGTGAACTATGTGATAAGTTATCTTTTACATCAAACAAAATCAAGATAAAGAAAACAGAATACCTGAGGTGTCGGAGGAGCAGGAGTTGGAACAAACATTTGGGGCTGTGGTGCAGGCTGATAGGGAGTAGGAGCACCATATCCTCTTCCATATGAAGAGTCAATAGGTTGCTGATAATTTTCACTGTATGGACTGCCAGGAACACTCTGATGCATTTGTTGAGCTACTGCTCCCTAAAAAATAAGCAAGCATAAAGTGGTCAATCATGTGAGCAACACATCACATTCTCTAGAAACAGCAATTTAAAAAAAAAAAAAATGAGGAATGAAAAGCCAGAAAGCCCACCTGATAATAAGAATGAGAGGCATCAGCCACACCAAAACCAGACTGTTGGGCACCATAAACGGATCCAACTTGCTGTTGGCTGTTCTCAAAAGCTGGAGCCTTAGCTTCTTTTTCTGCATCAGAAATCAATTTCTTAATCTGATACTCAGTTTGAAGACAGCACTGCTAATGCAATAATGTCAGGGTCATGAGGCTATAGGAGAAGTTATGCTGGATTGTATTAGTGCTGGATTCAATTGGAGGACCTACTTTAACCACAGTATAGAAGAGCTCTTTCTTGTTTCAACTAAGAAACACTTTACCACAATACACCAGAGTTATTAAAAGATGTCATTATATGACCTGAACATGACTCAAACACCAGAAAAACACCTTACTCAACTTTGACCACACCAGATCAAGCAAAAATAAGTTTTCACACAATCCATTTGCTTTGTCAGTTCACTAAGAATGAGCTACACCAGGGGTAAAGGAAACCCTGCACCAAATGGCATGGACAAGGCTGAAAAGGAAAGCAGCCGAGCTGACTGATAGAGCTAACATAGCAGGTAACAACTACAAATCTAGTATATTTATTGCCAGGTCTCCATACTATGTATTTAAACCTAAATTTCCCACTAGGATAGGTAGAGGGTAAAGGGACTGAGATTGCAACATCACAAGTTTTACCACTTAGTAAAAGTACTTAAATATATCATAGACAAAAATTTTGCTCCCTTTGTTTTCCCATTTCCTTTATTTTGTTTGGCTCAGTTTATATACTCATATTAAAAAATTAAAACCAATAAAAAATAATACTCGTAGATTTGGAATATTGAGATTGTGTTTCAATGGCCATGATCTAGATAATATCCCATATTAATGTAACTGTTGGTGGGATATAAAATAATGGATGATCTCTCAACATCATAATGTCTGGAACTTGAGTGATAAACTTCAATTAAGGATTGAAACCTGTGAAGTTTTATAATTCTGCGTAAGAATTTTCAACAAATGACGTACCAGTTTCTGTGGAGAGAGCAATACGGTCTCTTAAGATTGTAAGTTCAGGAGACAATTCATCAGACCCTAAAAGCTTCAAGTACTCCAGCGCTGTTGTTAAAAGGCCCTGGCTGGCTAAAATTTCAGCATACTTCTCAACAAGCTTGCACAAAGAGGCACTAAATTGCTTTTGACCACTTGCCAGAGCAAGGACAATAGTCTTCTCCATCAAATCCTAGCCAAACAAAGAATATAAATCAAACTTCCACATTGACAAACATAAAATACTATTGAATTTCTACTTCACTGCAAGCTGACCTGAAGAAGATCAATGTATGATTTCCCTTCACTCTCGACTGCTAGACGCCTTGACCAAATTTCAACTGTTTTGTCAATATTGCCCGCACAGATATAACAAAGAGTTGCCGCCAATGTATTACCAGCAGCCATTAATTTTGAAGCAAGTGAATTGCATAGCATACTCCATTCCTCACTTGGTGCGAACTGTTATTTATGATGAAAGTAAATCAATATGGAGCAAAAGCAGTGTCTTGCACATCTGTTTTAAGAAACATTTCCATGTGAAAACCTCTCCTCATCACAGGCTCACACAGAATTCAGGTGTAAGAATTGCAGGGTCAAATATTTCATAATCAAAACGAACAGTTCAGTCCAAATATAAAAATTGAGGTGTAAGAATATCTCCACTATTTTCTGCAAATAAATGTCCAAGCAGGCACCACTACATGCACAGAAATTTAATTCCAACAGAAATAGCAAAAGACAAATAATCATCAATCAACAGTTAGATAATAACAACAGGATATCTTGCAGTAATCATAAACAATTTACTACTGAATTCCATCAATTTTTATATATGATATTCACTTCTTCAGGATTTGAAGAGCTTACTGTACAAAGGAGTGCAAGAGTTTCTTTCCAGTATTTGAGTGACCTGGAGTTTACAAGGGTCATTAGATCATTGTTGACCATTGCAGAAACAATCTGAAAATGAAAATAGTTGGCAGTGAGGTGACAACTTCTAACCGATTGATAAAAGGGGAAAGAATACAACATTGCAATACAGATACATGTATTTGCGAATACATTAATGGCCTTGGTGCAATAAAAAATAAAAACATAAAAGGGAAAAAAAATGTAAGTTAAGCTACCTTCAAGTAAGGTGAAGAGCTCAATTTAAGATATTGGTCACGTGTCTTCTCCCACAATGAAGTGCCACCAACATGAGCAATAACTAAAGCATCAGCCATTTTATTTGCCGATATGCACTGTGCAACAGCCTCTTTGTAGTCTCCCAGAACCAAAGCACGCTGTATACAATCATCAAATGATGGGTCTGCACTCTCCTCAGGTGTCTCTGTTTCTTTTGATATTTCTTCTGCGCTAGGAGCAGATTTCTCAAGACCAACATTATCACCAGAAGGTACCAAAGAAGTATCAGCTTTGGGACTTGGAAGGTTGTTAAAAAAGTCTTCCCCGTCATCAGCAGAGAATATGGTTGCCTCTTGATTATTCTCGTATCCCATTTCATCGGCTGGCGTATCATCAAGCCGAATGGCATTTATTTCCTGGGTGAGATTGTCCTCCAGTATAGCATCTTTTTCTTCAACTGGTACGCTAAAACCAAGGTGGGAGAGCATCCTAGTTCTTGCAGTTCCATCTTCTTCAAACATAACCTTCAAGAAACCCCAAGTTTCTCGATCGTCCTCTGACCTGCCAGGATGATTGACCAGACAGGCAAAACAGTTAATCAATTTATTTGAAGGGAAAAAAAACAGAGTAATTGACTCCTTTTCTTGTCCTGAAAAGAAGGATTGCTTAATAGACAGATGCATACTCAGACTCTTGAGATTTTTTATCACATAAAGCCTTCAACAATGACTTCTCCCCATTTTGTATGGCACTTTCAAATTCAGATGACCGACTCACCAAACTGTCTTCTGTAACTAAGTTATGCAAAAAAACCTGAGAGAAACACTGAAAAGAGTAAGTACAAAGGACAAGTTGAAAATACATGAGAAAGAACAACTTCAACCAGAAAAGCTACCTCGGAAGCACCACCAGCAGATGACCTAGGGCGAAACGATACTAACTTTCCTCCAAAGCCAAAAGAAACCCCAACGGAACGCTTACACCATTTTGGAGCTCTTAATTTTCCTGCATAAGACAGTAAAATAGATATTCTGAAATGAAACTCAAAATAGAGTATACAGGCTTCAAAGCATAAAAGAAACACAAAATAGTAAAAATAAAAAAGGATCATATATGAAATGCTCAACTTTCAAAATCCCGAAACCCTAACATGCTTGCAGGGTACATTAAAATGATACTCTATCCCACTCTTTCATTAGATAATCACTTGTATACTATTTCAATCTCAAAGAAAGAAATTGAAGATGCAAAGTAATTTAATCATCTTTTAATGTTGATATATCAAGTAGGACATCTTAAGCTAAACAAAAACAATGGCACCACTTAAACTAGCTTAGCTCAGTCAAAGTTTTGTCCAACCTTGGAATTAAACGACAAACCTAAAACCATGCCTGGCTTGATACCAAGACATTATTTTATGGCAGTAAATGACCAAATAGAAAAATTTTAAAATTTAATATAGAAGGAAGAAGTTGGTGGCGTATGCCGTCAGGCTCAAAGAACACATCCCAGCAAGGATTTGCGGGCATGTTATCATTTCACAAAAGCAAATCAAATTGCTCCAGATCAACCGCTAAAGTTTATGGTATGATTATAATAAATTACACAGAAAACAGATGACAAATTTGACAACACCTCTTGTCTAATAAACTACATTACCTCTTCCAAAATCACTCTCCCCGGCAATATATCGACTGCAACCCTGCAAAGAAAGATCCAAAACAAAAGAACTCTATAATGGAAATGAAATTTATTTTTAAAATGCCAAAGAAATCATATCGCATTTCTATAGACTTTTTTAATTTCCTAGTAAGCATTCCATTATACAACCTACTCTTCCATGCCAACACTATAAAGTTTGAACCCAGTGTATCATTTCTTTTTTTATCTTCTTTTTTTCTTGAGGTGCGACATAATTTTATCATGAGTGCATGTTTCCCTTCCCTTACTTGCTACGTGCTGGCCACCAAGAAGACAACAAACTTGGTAGCAGCATGACATAAATGCTTACCTCAATGTTGTAAATGCCAATCTTTCCATCAAAAGAAGATGCTGATATAACTCCGGGCATCTTGGGATACCAGTGAACATCAAAATTCCAGTTGGTGCCAGCCGGTAATTCACAGGCAATCTACTCCAAAATTAAAAAATAAGCATCAACCAAGTTTAAGAAAAGCATAGGCAAGTGAGAGCTTGCAAAGAAAAAAAAAAGGATAAAATATTCAAATTAAAATAATCTCATAGCTACCAAAACAGAAACTTATAAGACTAAACTTATACTGCTGCAGTTGTACGAGTTTTGTAGCAGCAATTTCCTGCTGGGTTTATGTTATAAATCAATTTTTTATTCATAAAAAGAAAAAAGGCAGGAAAACAAGATTGTTTGATTACCTCTCCCGTTACTGTGTTCCAGCAGATTGTTCGGTTATCTTTAGCGCAGGTAAGCAAATATGAGCTGTCATTGGGACACCATGACATTCCAATTACACCTGGTGTAACAAGAGATGAGTCATAAAAAATACTAAGCCGCAAATTATCACTAAAGGTTTTAAAGGAACAGAATTATTGAGCCTCAGTGTAAGAATCGGCCCATGGAAAACTGCCAGGATAAGAAAGGAAGGACCATCGAGGATGAAGATGTTTAATTAAATATCACATAAAACATAAACCCTGATTGGTGCACATACATGAGAAAAAAAAAAAAAACATTTGCATTTTCTAGGTCAGAGATGATTTTTGTAACACAGCATATCCTTTCAGCCTCCAAATATTACAAAGGATTACGAAATCACAGAAGTTAAGACAATTGTTTCTAGTGAGCCTACTTGATTTTATACCGCACAACCAAAGGAGAATGAAACAAAAAGAGAATCTGAAACTGCTATGAGTTATATAGAAATCCGTAAAACATCTGGAAATTAAAAATTATGCAGAAACATGATCCAGGTAAGTTAAGAATTTCTTCCCAGTCATTTTGTAGGTTTTGGGAGGTAAAGGATTCTATAGTCTTGAGGAGGGGTGCTTTGTTAGCTATGGCATCTTCAAAAACTATCCTCTAAAAGCAGCTTAGTGGGATAGGATAGTATTTCTGGCTTCTTTATGGTGTTCCCTTTCAAAAAGATGATAAAACACAAACATAGCCACACTGTCTATGTTTGTCTTCTTTTTGCCTATCTATTTTTCTCTCTCCTCATAACCTAGGAAAAAAAGTTTGAAATATCATATATTATGCCATACCTTTTGTGTGTCCCACAAACTCCTTCACAGGTTCAATTATGTTTCGCATATCCCAAAGCTGCGAGCAAAAAGCATTGTGAACTAGGAAACTCTATGGATATTAATACTTGAAAGGAAAACTCTAGCAATAGTGAAGACATTACCCGCAGAGAAGGAGAGCTATCTTCATCTGACGCCACAACAAGCTGAGTGGCAACATCAGGATGCCACTGCAAAACAGAGCACCGCCTTCTAATTGAATCTCCAAAACTGTTCAAGTAGAGGTCTAAAATCAGTTTAGAAGGATAAAGATTTAAAAGATGGTATGGAGAAGGAATAGAAAGCAGAAACTTACGAAATCGCTGGTTTCTGCTTCTTTAGGTCCCAAACCACTGCAAATGAATGAAATGGTCAGCCTTCCACACTAAAAGAAAATAACTATGTGATCAATGGTAAGTGAGGCCACTTTGCTATCTCACCAGTTATTCCATTGGAAGAAGTGGATGCTAATATATGTTGAACTCTGCAATTCCAAGACACATAAGAAATTTCTCCTTGGGCAGCAGAACCAGTACCCTACATAAAGATCCCACCAGACACAGCACAAAAATGGAGAAAGAATCAGTACGTACCAATAAGAGAGCAGGAAAGGAAGAGAAAAGGAGGTTGACAGAGGGGTTCTTTAAGTTGAAACCTACTGCTACTAGTCTGAGAAAACACTATTAGGAATTAGGCTTCCAGCAACAACTAAAATCAATTAAGTTCAAAAATACAGAAGTAAGAACAAACTACAAGCTTTCTTTGATAAAGGATGAAATCAAATTCTTGGCAGCCTCAAAATCTAACTCCTATTATAAATGCGGGCAAGAAACTACAAGAAAATGCAAGGAATGACACACTTTGGGCCAAACAGATGATATCAAACTTGCCAGGTTTTCCCTCTTCCTTCCAAAACCACCCTAACCTTACTAAATGGAGACACCCCATCTATTAGCCAAGTCAGTGACGCGTATCCTGAGAAAGAAAATAATTCGGCAAAAAAGCCTTGCTGCTATTTGCAGCATGACCCCAGTTTGCATCTTCCAAAGGGTTAAACACCATTATCTAAACATCCTCGTGTGAGATTCCAACCAGAGGTTGCGCATAATCAAGTCCAAATATATATCAAAATATCATGGACAACTCTCAAGCTAAAAGAGAGACATTCCTGAAAAGAGATTTCTATTCAGAAGCTTCCTTCAGAGCTTATGACATGAGCTTAATTATAGTCATGCTACAAAGCATGCAAAACTCTGCAGGCAACAATGCCAGACAAATGCAGAGCACTTCTTTGTTTTTTTTTTTTTTTTTTTTTTTGGGGGGGGGGGGATTCAAAGATTATGAGATTACAGCATCATTACAATTTATCAATTCGAAAATTTACCATCAAAGACTGATACTTTGATAATTTAAAATTGTTTTGGGCTATGGAAGCATTTAGTTACAGTAATCCTTGTTATACTTCATCTCAATCCTAATACAATAATTTAGAAGCTTTTGATTGTTGAATTTAGATTTTCTGGTTGGGAAAATTATATTAGCCATGCTATTATGTACTTCTAGGTAAGCAGGCATAAAGAAACAAATAATTGGATGTTTTTCGGCAGAAATAAACATGTTGTTGCATAGTTTCATCCTAACATTTTGAAGATTTTACTTGTTAAATTTGGATTTTATGATTAGGAAAATTATATCAGTCCGTGTTATCTTTACTTCAAGGTAATGATGAAACACTAAAAATCTTCTACATCATTTTTTCTAAAAACATGGTTGGATTCAAAAACTATATAGAAAAGAAGGAAAATGAAGACCAAGTGTTGAGCAGTCAATACTTCCCTTCCTGGGCATACAGGTTCCTTATAGTTGGTTTGGTGGTGAAGAATAGACACTTAAGAAGGTACAAAATTGAACAAACATTCCAGCAATGTGAGATGTAGGAGATTGTAAGGTTAATTTCCAAACACAGGTAACAATATGATACACCAATTCCCCTAGGAAGAATCATACACCTCCAACTCATACCTTTTACCTTACAGAAAGCTCCTGAAACAGATTTGAGGGATTAAAACTCCAACAACACCATGTTCAATCCAATCAAATCTTCATAAAAATGCCAATAAAAAATATCTCCTTAACCCACTTTGTAACCAAATTGATTGGGACCTGCACCTTTTCAGAGGTGTTTTTGACTTGTTAACAGATTTTCCTGCCATTCTGCCCCCTCTAATAATCTAATAACCAACAAACAATCATCTTTTCTGTCCCATGTCAAGATATTTCAGGAAGCTTCCAAGGATCTCATATCAAAGCCAAACACACAGCCTGAACCATGTGTTCCATTGTTTTCCAAATACCATAAATAAGAAAATACAAAATCTCAACCTAAACACCAGTCCATGCTCATTACAATAAGATTGCATAACTCCAATGTTGCACATAGACAAACCACACTGGAGAAGTATCATGGATTGCAATGGGTCCCCTCAATTACTTGTAAGGAAAGACTTAAAAGGAAGCAGGCATCAGCTGGAGCTGCTGGGTAGCAAGCAAAGATTAATGGATACATGAAAGGAGTCTCAGAAAAAAAGAAAGGCAGCAAAAACAATTCCAAACACCTCTTTACATGTATATCTAGCAATAAAGAGCACTTTATATAAATTTCTTCTTCACCAGTAAGAGTTCAATTAAGGGAACATGGCAATTAAAAGACCACGTACAAGCACAAAGAAACTTTAAAATGGTTAAGTGTCAAATGAAGCATACTTTGAGAGGTGGAAAATGTGAAGGTTCTGCAGGTGCAGCCAAATCCCATATGCAGATTTCACCGTCATCAGCACCAGATGCAAGTAAGTTAGGGTTGATGGAGTTAAATTCAAGGCCACGAACCTGAAACAGGGAGGAATAGTGACAGGCATAAAATCCAACCATCAAACATCTAAACTATGAGGGTGCCAGAAAAAAAAAAGAAACAAGAAAATTTTATTTATAAAGAATAACTTACAGGTCCTTTGTGTTGTGAAAGATGACTAACAAGAGCACTTTCACTTGACTCAGAACTGGGAACAAAAAATAAAATATAAAATAAGGGCTTCATCAAACAAAAGAAAAAATAAATTAAAACAAGATTTACAGTGTAGATTTCCATAACATATTTAACATAAAAAATTAATTTTTTTGCGAAAAATTACATGCAGAGCAGAATTATATTTCTTAAATGCAAGAAAATGAGAACTTCAAAATCCACCAAAGAAATCTATCCACATCAATGCAAAGTATAATTTCAATGGGTTCCAGCCAAACCATCATCTGTCCAGTAACTCATTACCCATATTAAATACCAATCCTCTACTTTTATACATTTCCATCTTCACAGAGAACTCAAACTTCAAAGCACAGTTAAAAACAACCAAAAGATCAAGGAACAAACATAAAAACCAAAACAGAAAAGAAAGGTGAAATGCTCTCGTTTCAAATTTTATAATAATAAATTCATATCAATGCCAGCTCAAAATGAGATACAATCACCATCTAAACAGCCATTCCAACAACCAAATGAAATTCATTGCCAAGGAGTTCTACTACACTCAACTCAAAATTAGGTTTCATCCGAAATTTAATTTGAAAACAATTAATTGTGCGGGAAAAAAATATAAATATAAAGTTCATGAGAATAAAAATTTCCTACAGACCACATAAACTTCTACATTCCCACCTATAAAATCACAAACAAAACTCAATTTAAATCAAGCTGAGCATTCCCTGATATACCAGTTTTACTATTTTAAATCTGAACACAATCTTACCAAATTCCCATCTCTCCCTATATTCCCAACTCGTAAAAAACAACTCTGATCAAGACAATTCTGTTCAATTCAAATCCCATTCAACGCAAAACCAATCCATGCACAAACAAAACTAACGAAACCGCCTAATTAGTATCAGATCTCACTATACTTCCGAAATCCTCCCCTTCACTCCCAATTTCACTGACAATTCATCCCAACTAACAAACTAATCTCAATCAATGGTGGCAGTACACCGCGGCCGCGTCGTCAGCAGGAGCCGAATAAATTCAAAATAGATAATACATAAAACAGAACTAAAAAAAATACCTTATCAGGGACAAAGGATTCCAAATATCAATGTTGCCATCAACAAGACCACCAGCAATAAGTCCAAGACCATAAGCATCAGAGCCGGATCCATTCCTACCCCAGGCGAGACGATTAAATCTCTCAGAACTCTGACACTCACCAACAACAGGGAGATCATGATCCTCCGATTGGAAATCAAGCTTAAAGATTTCAAGACTCGCAGACGAACTAAAGGACAGATCCACTGCCCCCGCCATCGTCCCCGCCGCCATGTAGGGCGAGTCCGGGGCTAACGCCACCGACGCCGATCTATTTACAGACTTAATAGACGCCATAATTCACTCCTGTATAACTACAAAAACGACAATCGATAAATGGATCTGATTATGAAGAAATGAGAGAAATGGATTTAGGTTGAATTTTTTTAGGGTTTGATCTGGATTTGAGAGAAAATTGATTTATTCTATATAGACGTTACACACTTGGCTTCGCTCCTCTCTCTCTCTCTCTGTTTGTGTCGTGAGAAGAGAGAGTGATGTGTTTGTTCGATTATTTTTTTTTATATTTTTATTATTATTTTCATTTCATTTTTTAGCGTTTTTTCGGGTTTCAGTTTGGTTAACCCGGAAGAGGAAGGTTTTTCTTTGCCCTTCCGTTTGTGATTGTGTGCTCTTCAGGTTGGACCTTGGGAAAAAGTGTAAGGGATGAGGGTTTTTTTGTCTATAACGTATATTCTGTGATGGTTAAACTCTCTTATGTCAGCAATTGCTTTATGACATGTGTCAGTAGTATCTCGCCCTCGTTTGCTTGGTGAAATTGATATTAAGAAAGTGCTAACTATATTTTAGTGAAAGATTTGTTTTTTTATTTTAAAAATATTTTTAAAAGAATTTAAAATTTTTTATTTTTTTATTTTAAATTAATATTTTTTTGTGATTTTATATTATTTTATTATATTTTTAAATAAAAAATACTATAAAAAATAACAATAACCATATTTTTAAAAAGACAAATAACCATGAATAAGAATGGTCATTTGCCCTGTTGTGTCATGTTACACTATTTAATAAAGATAAATATATTAAATTGTTTAGTAATAAAATTACATGTTATGTTTTGTTTTTTATTATTATTATTATTTGAATATCCTCACATTTTTTTAAAAAAATAAAATTAATTTCATTAGGAATTCATAGCGGTCTCTTTCAGTAAATAGAATTCCCAAAAATCAAATTTATATTCTCACTTTTATAAAAATATAATAATATTTTAACCGTCGGACCTGCATTTCATTAGGATATGTTATGTTATGATATGTATAAAATCATTTAATTCTTTGGTAATATATTATGATATTGCTCTAAATATAATTATTTTTAATGATATAGCTTGGGTATTTTCATTGAAAAATTAAATAAATTATTTGAAAATATATGGATACTTTCGAGTTCATTGTACTTTTGTGATTTAAAAAATCAAAACATCATAATTAATATAATATGGAAACTATATATTAAAGTAAAACATGCGGTGTTGATGTTTTTGTGATTTGAAGCTCTTTAATGTTTTTTTGTCTTTTAAACAAAACAAATAACTTCGTATTTCAAAAAACATAACTTCTCATGTTTTCTATACTTAAAACGAGTGTACTTTTAAAAATGCTTTTATAAGTATCAATTTTTATTTCCAAAAGTTAAACAATTTGTTTTGCTTAAAAACATCACCAAATGCCATATAAGATTTAAGATTTTTTTTATGTTGTTTCATTGTTTATGTTCATGCAAACATCAAGCATCACCCCCTCCCTTCTTCTTCCTTTTATTTTCTGTCATTTTACCTTTTTAATTTTGTTTTTAATTTTTATTCTTTATTTAATTTTTTTATGACTAAATTTACAAGATAAAATTTTAAATTATAGTATGAAAATAAAATTGAAGTAAAGAGAACCACGATATAGAAAAAGAACAAAATTCATAGTCAGACTCGAGTTTTTTTATGATCTCTTTATTTATTTATTTATTTATATGTTAGAGAGATGATAGAAAAACTCCTTAAGAAACAAAAAAAAATTATTATTTAGCCACGTCATAGGTTAAAAAAAAAATCTATGTGTTAATGAATTTTTTCTTTCAATAAAAATGCTTTTTTTTTCCAGATATAACAGAGAAATAAAATCAAGTTTCATTTAATTTATTTTGACTTGATTAAATTTTTTTAATTTATTTTAACTCAATTGATGTTTTTGTATTTTAAAGTGATTTGTTAGATGTTATGGGCCTATTAAGTGTTTTCTTATGTCCACAGGGTATTTTTAAATAAAAATAAATTATAAATTAAATTTTCAGGGTAAATAAACATTTCCTATTAACTACAAAAAATAACATGTTGCTTGCCATGGTGGTTAAATCATCGTCTGCCTTAAAAAAAAAAAATACAAAAACAAATGACACATTGTTGACTCTTGAAGGGAAAAAAAAAAACTAAAAGAGAGCCTGGACTTTCAAATCCAGACACATATGAGGTTTTTTTTTTTTAAAAAAAAAGGCTAAACATGTGAGGTTGGTGAGGTTTGGCCTTTAGCACTCCACCTCTATTTTTTTTTTCTTAAAAACTTTACATATAACTTTTATATTGTCATGTTTTTTTTTTTACTCTGCATTCATTTTTTTATTTTTAATTGATACTTTCTTTCTAATCTTTAAACTTTCTGTGTGTTGTCTGTTTTAGATAGTAGTTATTTTTAATTATTTTATATTTTTTAAATATTTCAAAGTGATTACTCTACTTTTCCTTTTTATTTTTTTTTCTTTTATACTTGATATAACTATGATTTTCTTGCATAGTGTATTTATAAAAACAAGAATCATTTTTCCAGGTAAAAAAGCAACCTATAAGATAAAAAAAATGCATAAACTAAAACGAGAATTTAAGGTTGAATATTTGCATAATCAGTTATTTTCTGCTTTCATAATAAAGAGTAGCATTCCAATTAAGTATCGTATTATCATTAATAACTATTTTATAGTTTAGAGATTCATATATTTTTTAATTTATTTTATACAGTGTAAACAACGTATTTGTATTTCCTAGTTGTAGAAAATTGTGATACAATAAAACACATGTAATATCAACAAATTATTATGCTCCCTTAAAAATTAACTTGAAATTCTATTTCTAGTGCAAACAACATGTTTCAAGAATCAACACATTTGTTTTTTCAAATTTTTTAAAAATTATTATATTCCAAAACATATTAACGATTTTAATATATATTTTTATTATATTCAAAAAATCACGATACAGAATAGATGATAAAACAAGTAATAAAAAAAAACAGTGAGATTTTACGTGAGTGTTTGTTTTTGTATAATAATTTATTTTTAAAAATTATTTTCCTAAAAAATATTAAATTTATATTGATATATCAAAATATTGTAAAATGCACGATGAATGCTACTGCATCAACTTTCACTTCTATCACAACAAAATACTTTTATTTTATTTTTTTCATTTTTCTGTATCGAGCAATAACCATTGAGTAAGAAATATTTATGCTGAGGCCAATTTGACAAGCTACGAACCCGTCTCCGCATTTTACCTCCATTTTTTCTTTCAAGGAATTAAACCTCGAGCACAATACACACTCCACAAAGGAAATAATTAAAAAAATATGACGTGAATAAATAAAATCCAGTAACATTATATTTTTTTCAACTGTTCTCTTTCAGCCCAAAAGCATCTAATTCAAACCTCTGTTTTTTCCCCTGAAAACGGCAGAAGCTGTCTCAAGTTTTTTAAGCAAACAACTTGATCGGAGCAAACAACTCGCTCGGGATATATATATACACACACACACACGAATCATTTCTTCATATATATATATATATATACACACACGAATCATTTCTTTATATTCAGCTTCGTCTTCTCTTAATTAATCCAGGCAATTGACATGAAACATGAGCAGATCCACACACACATATATACACGATTAACACAATAGAAATGAAAGAAACTACTTTTTTTGATGCGTTTATTCATAAAAAAACGAAAACCAGAAGTCTTATTTTGCATGACGCCCGTTCTCCAAATCAACAGGAGGATTATGCCGATCGCATGGTAGCTTTATACTGCCTAATGAGCCCGCTGGAACCAGCTTAAGATTCTCACAGTTACACATCTCGATCATGTACCCATCTGGATCACAGAAAAAAAGCTGGTCAATCGTTGTTCCGTTTTTATCATCGTCTACTGTCCTCTTCGTGTACTTCACGTTAAACTGCTTCAATCTCTGCTCCAGTGCTTCCATGTCTTCACACTGCAACATAAATGGTTTATTGACCGTATGACACACACACCCACACAAATAAACAAATAAATAATAATTCATCTGCAAGTTCATCCAACATTCATTGCTTCCGCACTCATTAATCAGCCTTGTGTTAAAACTAGCTCCCAGTTGTTTTCAGGGCCTGATGCCTCACCGGAATTAAACAGGGAAGAAAAAAAGGCATCAACAGTACTAAATGAGATCTTGAGGATTTTCAAGGAATTTTGTTCAGCAAATATCGACGAGCGTCTATCCATGTAAATATAGGAATTATTTACATCTTTCTTCCATTCCGAATATATATGTTCGTATTTAAAACTCTCCATATGATGTCCATCCTTTTATTCCATTTAATGTTCGCACCTCGTCTCATATATTATACCTCTACAAGTAACAAAATTTTAAGTCTTGATTCTCATTAAAAAAAAAAGGATCAATTATATCCATCTACCTATCCCTGTATATATATATATGCGCGAGAGATCACAATTCGTTTTTGTTTTGATAGCCAGAGAATCGAATCAATTACCTGAAAAGAAATATGGTTATCCATGGGATCCAAACGACGATCTGCTTTAGGCAAACTGTCTTCATCCTTGGCCTGGATCAAGTGAACCCCAACGCCATAATTGAACAGCCAGGCTCCATCAAATTCAAAAGCTGGTGGCCTCTCAATCAAGACCAGCCCAAGAACCTTGGAGTAGAAATCAATGGACTCTTTCACGTCTCTACAGAGCCTCGAGACGTGATTCAACGCCATTTGAGGAATTCGGTCCTCCTCTTTCCCCTCATTGTTCCTCTCTTCCTTGTTATTATTAGTCTCTTCTTTCTTTTCCATTAATTAACAGTTTAACACCGACCGGCCCTCTTCGTTTCTATACTTTCTGAGGTGCTAGCACTGCTAGTGTTGTGCATGGCGTTTGAAGGTGGGGTTTTTTGAAGGTTCCCACAAATTATGGCAGTGGACACGTATGTAATACCGATGACGCGTGGTTGTTGAAGTGCGTGGTTTTTTAACGTTGTAGCCTTGGATGGTGGACACATTTGTGCCGTGTGATGCGGTGGCGGCTAATTCAATTATCTCTTTTGGCAATCTTAAATGCCGCAAAGTTAGCACAAAATTAGAAGGCTTAGCTCTGCGAGCCTGCCGCTGCCGATTTCGCATCTCGTAGTTGCTTCCTGTATTCTCACGAGATTAATCGCAATAAATAGAAAAATATTCATGAACACATGCTTTCGTGTGGTGTGAGAATTTTGGGTTTATGTGGTCTTTGTCTTGAGAAAAATATTCATGAACACATGCTTTCGTTTGGTGTGAGAATTTTGGGTTTCAGAAAGAAATCACGGTGCATTTTGTTTTTATGTGGTCTTTGTCTTACTCCATCCGTTAATTGTTAATTCCACAATCATCTCCCGTCTTGAGAACTTGGGTAAAATCCCAGCGCAAAGGAATAGCTGATAGATATATTTTCTGATTAAATTTATTTTGGCTTTTTTTTTCTCTCTCAATTTTAACCCTTTAATATTTTCATCATTTTGAATTGATTTTCATCTAAATTTTAAAACATAGCCTAGCTTGATAAATTGACTCAGGACCCGACCAAAATCAAAGACCCGGTTTTTAAAAAAAAGGAGAAGGTAAGAACTTGGGTGTCCCTGTAAAAAAAAATATGTTAATTTGATGATGCAGTTGATCCGGTCAAAAATCTAGATGCAACATGTTGATTATTTAATTTTTTTAACAAAAATAACATTAGTTTATTTTATAAAAAAAAAATTAGAGATCAACTCAGGATGATCGGGTGACTTGGTCAAAACTCGTGACTCGGGCTAAGTTTTAAAACTATGATTTTTATAATTTATTTTAATTTATATTTTATAAGGTTATTATATCTATTTTTATTATCTTGAGTAAAAAATAATTAAAAAATTATTAAATTTGGTGAAGTTTATGATTCAAACCATAAGGTTGGCAAATCAAGCAGTGAAACTCGTGTCAATTTAATACCTTGTTATCTTAATATTAAAAGTAATGTGTCATTCTAATTTATTTTTAAATTTAAATCATTTTTTTTAACAAATATTTGGATTGCTTTTAAACATGTTAAGTCGAGTTGGACAAACTAGCGCTACTTCCAAATAGTTTAATATTAAACTCAAATTAAATAAAAAATTGGTTAAAAAAGTTTCAAGGTTCACTTGGCAGGTGAACCCCTCCTTTTCTTTACTTTTTTTTTTAATTTCATCTTTCATGTTTTTTCTTTTGATTAAATCCTTTTTTATTTTTATTTTTTTTAATCTCATCATTTAGTACTTAATTAATTTTAAATTGATTTTTATAATTTGTTTTTATTAACTTTTTCTAAAGTTATCACAATCTCAAATAAACATCTTTGTATTTAATTGATGTTTAGTTTTACGAGTGTCTATTTTTAATATCATATTACTAAGTAAAAAATAATTTAAAAAAATTGTTAAACCTAATAAAACTCATAATCAGGATCACAAATTTAATTGGTTAAGCCACAGGTTAATATCAATTTAATATATTAACATCTTAATATAAAAAAAATGTTATCTTGAGTTTTTTTACATCAAATCATATATTTCACTTATTATTCGGGTTGCTTGTGAAATTACCAAATTAACTAGGTTATATAAAAATAATTTTTATCTAATTTAATTTTTAAATTAGGTTAAATAAAAAATTAAATTAAAAATTTTTAAAATTGATTTATAGAAGTTTAATAAACTCAAATAGGTCATCATGAGTTAGTTTTTCTTCAAGTTCAAGAAATTTACATTTGACTACAACGTAGCATATACCGATAAAATAGGATAAATAAAACTTGTTGATTATATCAAGAAAAGTCAAAGAAAGATTAACAAAAAACTAGAGAAGGTAGGGGTTTTACTATACCTTTAATCGCGTAACATTATCCACTTGTGTGTGTGTGTATATATATATTTTAAATTTATTTTTTAACATTAGATATATTGTATTAGTGATTATACTTTTTTTTAAATTTATTTTTTTATAAATTTAACTTAGACTTGTGATCCAAATTATAGGCTGAATGAGTTAATTTGGTTGATTTGAGTTTCCCTCTTTTTTTATTTGACTCCTTTTCTTTTAAATTTATTTTTCAACACTGGATTAATAGAGAATTAGACTTCGTTATGTTATTTTTATCTACTTTTTATGTGGTTATTTCCATTTCGCGACTCAATTCACAAGTCTAATAAGTTAATCTTAGTGATTTAAGTTATTTTTTCCCTATTTTTAATCAGTTTTTTTTTAATTTCAATTTCAATATCAATGCAGGGTTGATTGAGAATTGAGTTTTATAGTTTATTTTGATTTGTTTTCTATTAGATTATTTTGATCTCATGATTTAATTCTCGAGTTTGGTAGGTTAACCCGGATTGACTTGAGTTATTCTTTAGATCTTTTTTAATTGATTTTTTTTTCAGTTTCATCTTTAACATTGAGTTTATTGAAAATTGAGTTTCTTAATTTATTTTAATTTTCTTTCTACGAGGTTATTATGATCTAATGACTTCGTATGCAGGCTGAAAGGTTAAATCCAATATATAGTCATCTCAATATTTATTAAAAAAAATTCTTATCTTAAATATTTATTTCGAGTCCAGTAATGTTTTTATCAGCTACTCAATTTGTCTTTAAACCTATAAAAATAATCGAGTCATATCAGATCAATTCTTATATTTATTTTTTTCTACTAAAAAAATTAAAAATGTCAGGATAATAGACTAATTATAAAAAAAAGCTAAATGGCATAAAGATTTTATTGTAATTCTAGACACAAATTACTGTGGATTGCAACAATGAAATCACATAGGTATGTTGTGTAATTAAAGGGATTATGAGGGGTGTTTTAATATTTTCATGTTGTATCTTTTATTTTTAATTAAAAAGTTGTTAGTGTGCGTTCTAGATCCCTCGACGAGTGGACGGTGCCTGTGCTATTAAGGAAGCACGTGGATACTTCCTGGCGGTCAAATCAGGTCATCTGCCATATAAATAAATACGTAATTGTGTCCTCTTTCATATGGCACGATGCATGTAAATATATCATGATTGGATTGTCATTGATGATCTATTGTTTGCTTTTTCTCTCTTTTTTTCTCTCCTAACAACTAAAATACATAATTATTCTCTTATTGTTTATCGTTTGTTTAAGTCTAATATGGTTGTTAGATCCAAGAGTCTTGAATCAAGCAATCATATCAAACTTAAATTACTTAGGCTTAACATGATTACCTGAATTAAAATATTTTTTTAAATTTAAAAAATAATAATATTAATTCCCAGCAAATTGGGAGCCAATATACTAGTTTTATATCGATAGAGAAAATTCTTGAAAACCGGTTAAAGGGGCCATCCTTAGGAGGTCATAAGTCATAAAATTAATGTACTTTTATTACGTAGTTTCGAAGGTCCCTCACAACCAAGAGGGTAAAAAAGAAGCAGTGTTAGCCCACACATCTCACAACCGAACACCACCCCCCCTTAAAAGCCCAGACCACCAACTAGCCACCATCACTACCAACACCACTACCATCCTTAGGAGGTCATAAGTCATAAAATTAACATACTTTGCTTGTTAAATGATTAATCTTGATTTATGTTGTATAACACTTGGTACAACAAATTCTTGTCACTTTCATAGCTCATACTCTATGGTATAACCGACATCTGAGCTATAAAAAGAACTTGATTTGTTGTTAACATAAGTTATAATCATGAATGCTTGACGAGATTTACAAGTATTAGCATTAATCGAATAAGATAACTAATGTAATCATGTTAACAATCTATAATATGATTGGAACCTCCTTTGTGTGTGGTTTCCAATTGAATAATAAGAGTTTATACTATACTTGTTTGACATACCATTAGTGGAACCTCTAACCTTGACATTTGTTATTATCATTGATTAATCCTTACGTTAATCTTTCCATCTCAAAGTTCTCATCAACTTCTTCTTC